TGGGATGATTTAGCTGAGAATTGGTCCTGCTTTGAGCAGGGGGTTGGATGAGATGACCTCCTGAGGTCCCTTCCAACCCTGATATTCTATGATTCTATGAAGACCCTTTACAGCACTGGATATAATCCTTTCAGAGTCAGACACCAACTCTATGACCAGATACTGTGTGGTGCCACACACTGCATCTAGCTGTGGGGGTTTTATAAACTTGTAATAAACCCCATAGCCAAAGAAATCAAAACACAGACAAAGCTTATTGCCATAGGCAGCCCAGATTGGTGATATCGTAAATTAAAACTGCTGCATTTCTCACTGATATTAATATATATATGAAACAGATCAATACACACTAAAGCTATTTTGTCCCCCCTCCCCATTAGAGTCTCACTTTTAAAACATATGGGGATTAAAAGAATAACATGCTTAAAGGACAAGGTTAGTTAATAAGATTTAGGAAAAATCTTTAATGAATACTTTGTCCTACTAAAGATTGTTCTGAAATCTACATATGTTTGCAGACAGTTAGGGGCAAATTGTACATTGACAATTTACACCTGCTGAGACTATACCTCTTAGGGCTTGATCCAACTTCCACTGAAGTTGTTGGTTGTTTTTCCATGGACATCAGTAGCAGTTGGATCGGACCCCGACACAGTATGAAAACAGAACAGCCGAGAATCCATCGACTGTGTTTTGCTGTGTGGACTTGAAACTCTTCTATTCCACCAGTTCCCTAACTTGTGTGGTTCCTGATTGTAAAATATTGTCCATTACAAATGTCTGTGACAAGAAATGGATGCATCATTGTTCTTTTAAAAAATAAAGCATTTTAGGGCCTGATCCAACACCCAGTAAAGTCAGTTAGCATCTTTCTACTGACTTTAATGGGCTATGGATCAGGCCCTTAGGGCATGTGGCAATCCCATCTGGAAGACTTTAATATTGTGTTTGCCTGCTATTGTATTTGAAACAAAAGCAATGAGCTGCATAAAGGGGGGGGGGGGGAGAACCCACACAGACTTTAAGAGTTTGGAGCGTTTCTGAGATAACATTTTATTCATGTAGCTGCAGTATTTTTCCATGTACCATAGACTTAAAGCCAGCTGTATTCCACCTCTGTTCCCGCAGAAGATACCAGTGGGTTGTTTTTACAGCCCAGTTAGGAGTCTCAGAAGTAATGCAAACTTTAGGTTTAGCTTGTTAACTGAGTTCCAAATACTCCAAGTTAAAAATAAAAGTTATTGGCAAGCCAGAGCCCACTTAGCCATCAGTCTAACTGCAGCCCGCCACTAGCCAATGAATCCAAGATGCTTAGAAGTGACTTCACACAAACACAAACCTTCTTTGCCAAAGAAATTAGGGGTGTTTTGTTTGTTTTGTTTCAGATTATTTCCATCTGGTTGAAAAAAACTACCAGTGAGTGAGTGTGAGCGAGAATTCAAACTGGATACAATGTGTCAGCTATGCTAACTGATTGCCCAGAATGGACATGGAGCTACTGAAACCAGGTATGCGTGGACTCATTCTTACCGATTCACAAACACCGCCGCTGGGCCAGTGAGGAGGAAATCAACCTGCCCAGTGCTAGGGAATCTGACAGGTTTCTTGCAGGGAATCCTAGCTACTTTTCCTCCTCTGCTGTGCTTCTCTACTCCAGTATGTGAGAAAGGCCCAGCCCATCTGAGGCAGCAAATGGTGCAATTCACTGGAGGAGAAGGGGGGGGGAGGAGGATTAGAGTGAAAACAGATCCGGCACTGGATTTTGACTATGGAGATCATCTGACTTGAGTTAACAAACCCCAATTCAATTTAAGAGAGTGGGAGAGAAAAGTTTTTTCCCTCCCTCCCCCTTCTTTTTTTAAACTTTCTTCTTGTGTCGGTGCTTGAAAGACAAAAGCTCCTCTCTCCTCCCCCCTACAGTCCTCCTAAACTTCAGCGTGTGTGTGTGTGTGTCGGTGTCCTACGCTGGGATGATGGATGGCAGAAGTGCAGAAACACGCCAGCAGCAGCGGAGGCTCCCGACACTTTTTTAAACTCTCTCCCCTCCAAACTATCATCAATGAGACTCCTCGGAGGAAGAAGGGAAAAGAGCCAAGCTGCAGCCGGGATTTGTGGTGGCGGCGGCGGCCGCAGCAACAGCTTTTAAAAAAGGCACCAAAGGGAAGGACGTCTGGAAAGTCCCTCCCACGCCCCCCCAAGTTTATGATGGGGGGCTGAATGAGTAGCCCTGCTCCGGAGCGGCTGCTGGCACGGGGAAAACTTCCTGGGTTCTCTCTCTGGGTAAAGTTGATTTTGGATGATTATCCCTTTCTCTTTGGGGTGCCTGGGTTTTGAGAGGGAGAGTGAGGAGGGGGGGGTGGGAAGTGGGGAAGAAATTTCCCTAAACTGCGCCGGATCATGCTTCCCTAGCACAGGGGTAGAGTCCCCTGCTGCCAGTGTTAGGCGCTGCACTTTGCCAGCAGGTAAGTGGCACGGGCTCTCCTGCGCTGGTTACCGTGGGGTGGAGGGGAGCTTTATCTCAGCAACTTTGGGCAGCGGGTTTTGGGGGCTGTTGTGCTTGGCTCACTTGCCTCCTGCTTGTTTCCATCTCCGAGCTGGGGCGGACTGAGCACGAGGGTGCGGGATCCCGATCGCTCCGGAGCGGAGCTGAAACTGACCAGAGTCGCGGTGTGAATTACACCCCTGCCTGGCCACCCTGGAACCCCGGGGTCGCCTAATGCTGATTCCGCGGGAGATCCCGGCAGTTCCGGGGTGTTTCCCGACCCCTCATCTCCAGCCCGCCGAGGTGTAGATTGCTCGGGGGAGACCTTTGCTGCGAGAGGCTCCTTCCTTTCCCCCACCTCACTCCTGCAAAGCGGCTTAGATGGGGGGGGGGGTGCAGCCCACTGCTTTCCTGTCCTCCGTCCGTGAATGGAATTGTTGCATGCATCCTGTGGGGTGCCCCCACCCCTCTTTTAGGGGTGCCGTGCTGCTGGAAGGGTACAGTAGTAATATTGGGACAGTGGGGACCGGTGCTTAAGTGACAGTCACTTCCCTGCAACTTCTGCCCCGTGCTGCACCCAGGCAGTGCCGAGACCTGCTGGTTTTCCTGCTGAAGGTAGCTGTGCTCTCCAAAGTGATCCGTGAATTTACTACTGTATTTTAAGTTTGCCCCCCACCCGTCTTTTTCTCCCCCTCCCCCCTGCCCCCGGGAGGAGCAATCTTTCAACAAGTATATTTGCTGAGGAATTTCAAAAATCCACTGCTGCAACTTGATCCCTGTGTGATGAGGAGCGGCTTGGAGAGAGCTGGGCGCCAATCCTATTAAGGATTTAGAGAGCAGAGAGTTTTCCCCTGGACTCAGTGGCTTTAAAACAATCGGGGGGATCGGCTCATCTAGATGCCTTTTCTGCCTCAAGTAATTACTGTCATTTCCTAGGAAACCTGATTTTTCCAGCCCAGGAGATTAGGATGATTTTTCAATAAATAAAATAAGATCCTGTACAGAGTTTGCCTGCAATAGACTCTGTGACTTTCACTCTCACCATGAGGTGTGTGTCCAGCCAGGGACAGAGTGCCAGCCCAGTGAAAGGATTTTCCAATTGTACACATACTACTTGATCACAAACTTGGAAAGTGGGATTATTCAGAAAGTTTCGTGGGCCAAGATTAAGTATCTATCCCACAACTCTTTTACAGAAGGCAAAGCTCTCTTTTATCTATCATGTGTATATGCTCATGTATGTATACACGTAACATTGCAACATTTGAAAATATACTAGTACAGCCCCCCCCAAATCTACTAAACCATCTTTTATTACATTGTTGATGGGGAAAAAATAAAATGTTAGTGATCCATGGAAAAAAAATACTAGCCCTGGGCTAGTGAGCAAGTACATTTTTAAAGGTTATTATATGTGTATATTTCGTTGCATATGGGTGAGTGTGCACATGTGTGAGTATATGTATATGGGTGCGTGTATGTGTATATATAACCAGTTATATATAACTGAACACAGTCTTAACTATGGAGTTACTACCACATCTGTGTGTGTGTAATGTGTGTATGTCTAATCTGTTTAGATTTCTCTATATTTGATACAATTAAGGATACGCCCTCCTTTACACATATTGAAACAAACATTTTATTGGGTTATGATGAAATTTTTAGAGCTTAACGGCTATAGACAAAAGGAGCAGTTGTAAAACTTTTTTTTGCAATTGAGGCTCTTGGGATGTACAAGAATTTGAAAGTAAACGTTTCACTAGCATGCTGCATAAAATAGCATTTAAACAAATATTGTATTGGCATGCACTGTGGAGCTAGTGCCAAGAAAGTAAAGTAAATAAACCATGAAATCCAAAATATACAGATGTGGAATAGACTGATTTGCTATAAGACTTACCGATTTGATCTGTTTGTTCTAGCTACCTTACGTTTTTTAAAAAAAGATTTGTTTTTAGGTTACTAAAACTAATTTGTATAACTTTGCTAGGGGAAAAGCAGAGAATTCTGCCTACATTTTACATTTACCTGGGAAAGGAAACCCTGATAAATTATCATTTACACTACTTGATTGCTTGAAATGCATGGTAATTATTGTGTATAGCATGTACCTTTGTTGAATTGGTTTGATTCAGTTTTTCTGAGCTGTGGATATGGTAATTTGCATTTGGGCTGGAATTCCAGGAAATTTTGACACCTGTCAAACTTTAATTTTACTAAAAAAGGGCATATTGCGTGTAATTAAAAATCTGACACATTTTTAAAACATGAATTAAATTCAAGGGATTTTTTTTAGTGCAGTTAGTTTTTTGAAACTTGTCATACTTTGATCAGATGACCTACCCAGAATACCAGAAAGTGCACAATTAAGTAAAGTTGAACTATTATTCTATGGATCCCTGTCTATCCAGCCTTGTCTTGTATGTTTGTAAAAGAGCTAATCTTTAAAGAAAGGTGAGGTAAGATTCACTTGATCTTGAATGTTGTTGTTGTCTTAAGTGTGTGACTTTGAAGTGCCCAGAAATGCAACTGCTGTTCTTCAAAAAAACCAACAGATCTTGAGGACTGTTTCCAACTTCCTTTCAATGTCTCTTTTTTTCAGTGTGTCAAAGGGGATGTATACAGATGGACAAATATTATTTGTATTTGGATTAGCTCATTAATATGAGAAAAAATAGAGAATCGGGTCCAAATTTTCTCTGATAAACTGGAGTTGAAGTTACTTCGGATTATACATGTATAAATGAAAACAGAACTTGATCCTACCTCTCTAGTACATAACCTAGATTTTCATGTCACCTTAACTTTAAAAAAAACAAACAAACGGATAGTGTTGTTTCTTTCACCATGAAATTATATAAATGACCACATTTTTGGATGAGATTTGAAAAGCAATTGAAATGTTTACGGTAAAAGACTGGTATCATTTTGCTGTTTTCCTTATTCTGGTTACCTTAAACCGGAACCGGGTCTTTTCCTTACAGTGCCTTGCTAATGTCACCAGACAGAAAGGACTACTTACTATATGATGGTTTTGGAATTACATCTTGGAGTCTATCAGTGATTTAAAGATGATTAATTTTTTTCCTGATCCTGATATTTTAGTTGGTGTTTTTAAAGCAGCTTTCAAACACTAGATTTATTGTTTTGGGACAAGGTAGCACATCAAAATAACAACACCAGGATGATCTCAATTCTTAACTTTAAAGTAGAAACCCAGTCAACTGCCTCCCCCTATTTTTGGTGGCCTACTGTAAGCCAGTTGTTTGTACTGCAATCTGAAAGATACACAAATACTCCGTGCTTTTTGTGCTCTGAGAAGTGCTCTGTTCACAAGTTTCCAAGTGCAGATTAGTGAAGATAGTGGATTCAGTAAACAGTCACCAAAATCTATATTTATTTGTGCAGCAAACACCTATCCATTGCTTCCCCACAAAGAGGCCACTTAATAATCTGGTGGAGGATTCTGAGTCAGTGAGTTTTTAAAAGAGGCTACTTTGGAACATTAGATGTGACCATAGCATCAAACTAATTAGTTGCCACTCCAAACCATAGCTTCCAGGGCTTCACAGAAATGTGATATTTGCACTTCCCACTCTCAGTTTAGGCAGCTCATTCAATAGTCTGCATTTCTACTGATGGAGAAGATTGCAAAGCATTGGTTGAAAACTGCACAACGGCTTTATATACCTGTGTAAGTATTTTAAAAAACTGTAGCAAACATTGACCAGTATTCCGTATCTTACAGCTACTTCTGCTACATTCCCAATACTACCTAAAAATAGATATTCAGTAATTATGAGGGATAATATAACAAAATAAAACCAGCATGAATGATTTCCAGTACAAGAAGACGTTGTGTTGGCAAGCAAGCAATAATCACACACATACATAAAAGTGTGTGTGTAAAATCAAATAAGAGAGATATAGCATTAGATCATGTAAACAGCTGATCAGGAACAGTTAATATGTTCCTTTCTGAAATCCATTGAGAAATCATATATCTGATCTTCCATACTAAGCTTGATGTGGGAGGGATGAATTATTTAGGCTATTTGTTTGTGTCCACTAGTTTTGGTGCAGTTTGAGACATCTAGGGCCTGATTTTCAGAAGTCCTATGCAGCAAGAACTTCAGTAGGATTTATGGTTGCTAAGCCCCACTGAAAATGGGGCCAGAACTGGACACCCAAAATCAGTGGGCATTTTTGAAAATAGAGGCCTTAATGTCTTGTTCAAAGCCTGATAGTAATCAGTGGGAGCCTTGTCCTGTTGATAAATTTTTTCATGTCTCAAATCTTTTTGAGTCTGTCACCTTTAAGTAGATGATAAATATCCAGAAAGAATGAAATTAGAATTTAGGTTCCAGAATTTATTATTATATTATTTCTTCTACCTTCTAAGCATTTATTCTCATTCAAAAGGAGTTTAGCAGCTTTATCCTTTAATTTTGTGAAATTGCAAGAGTAAGCTTTAAGCTGTCTTTGACATTTTGGTTTAACTTGAATAGGTTAATGTTGTTTTTTTTTTTTTTAAGAAAACAAGTTGGTGGGAAGTGTGTTTTAACTGTGAGTACCCGATTTCAGCCATTAGCATAAGAAAAAAAGTTTTAGTGCATTTACTATTGTATTGAATGAAGAGTTCCAACAGTCAGGGAAAAGAAAGTGAAAGGCTGTAAAGAAATGATGGTCTATTCAGATTATTCAGCAGCCCAAAGCTCTGGTCATCTGCCTCTGAAATCTGTGATCGGGATATCACTTTTATCTTCCTGTGCCTTTCTCTTGCCTTTTTCACACG